CCACTCCGACGTGGACCAGTCGCCACGTGTTTCTTGCAGAATAATAACCCCTATGTCTCGATTCTGCGGTTCATGGAGCCACTGCTTAAGCTCTGTGAACAGCAAGTCCGATAGTCCCCCCGTATTCCAGGATAGAAAACGAATTCTGCGCTTGTTCTGTACCTGTACCGCCTTCTCTACTACCGGAAGTGGCGGTGCTCCAGACACCAGTTTGCGCCCCCTGTACATGGTCTCGCCCTGCAGTTGCGCACGTCTTACAGCACGCTTGAAAGATCTCTTTCTAATTCTGGAAAACTGAGCTCCACGAGCTGCGATTACGGCTTCATGGTTCCCTCCTGTGTTTGCTGCCAGGACAGGTGCCCCAACAGCTTCAGATCCCCCGGAGGGTGAGGATCGACCCTCGCGCCAGTGACCTATGTCTTCCATGCTTGTCATAGCAGTCTTCGTCACTCCCGGACTTGGGACCGGGCAGAGCAATCATGTGGTATGTTGCCAGAGTGGTGCAAAACGAGCAGCGGCTCGGTACGGCCTTCTGAAGATGCAGCGCCAATCTCCAATCGCTCGGCTCCACTGGAGCACTACAACAATTGTGGTTGATGGCCTCGAGACCTTCTAGAGAGCTTACGTTCCTAACAGGCCCGGGGTTCACACGACAACATTCTCGGCTTGGACCGCTCATGGCGCTTTACTGCTACTGCTACTGCTACTGCTACTGCTACTGCTACTATTACTACTGCTGCTACTAATACTAATACTAATACTACTACTACTACTACTACTACTACTACTACTGATATTCCTACTCGTAATGCTGCGCTGCAAGGCTACCGCTACGGCTACTGCTACTACGTCGACGACGACCACAGCTACTGCTACTACCACCACGACGACGACCACTACTGGTATGTCCACTGCAACTACGACGACGACTACAATTACAACTACTACTGCTGCTGCTGCTGCTTCTGCTAGTACTACAACAACAACTACTACTACTACTACTACTGCTACTACTGCTACCGCTACCACTACCACTACCGCTACCGCTACCGCTACCGCTACCACTACCACTACCACTACCACTACTGCGCGCAAAGCGCCCCGGTTGCCCACACTCGGGCCCGCCAACAGTCTACGCCTTCGGGTGTGGGATTTCGGGCACACAGCCACCACTTGTAGGTTTAAGGCTTTGGGGTTCGGGAAAGCCTCCTTCTAGGGTTAAAAGTTTAACCAATTAGGGTTTGGGGTCTTTCTGACATGGTAGCTGCATTTAGGGTTTGTGGTTTTGCGAAAGGAATCGCTCACTTTAGGTAGTGGGCTTTTGCTCCAGCACCAAGTCCCTCCTTTTCGGGATGACCATGAAGATAACTTATGATTGCAAGGATGATGGTAAGGAGGGTGATGATCGCGATGACGATGGCGACGGGGATGCTGTTGGTACTATTTCCTCTGATGATGAGCAAAGTCAGTATCATCATGAGGTGATGAGTCACACACAGGTCGCAGATAGACGAAAAGCAAACGAGCCCGGCGCGCAAGCACAGAACCCGAGAGGGACGCATATTGCGCCAAAAATACGACGGCAACGTTTCAAACTCACGAATTGCAGGGCTTGCCATGTATTTCGAGCTTTCCAGCCGGTAGTCGAAGAGGTGGCGCCGGCAACCGAAAGGCCTCGGACATCTTCGGACATACTCCACGCAAAGCCCTACTGTGCTGCTGCTAGTACGACGACGACGACGACTACTACTACTACTAGCTTACTACTTAGCAAGCCAGCTAGTCATCTAAACATATCTAAACTGCGGTCTGACTTTTGGATTCACCCTTTACCCAGGGCCGCACAGGGCCGCTCTCAATCTGCCTCTGTGTTGGCTGCTGGGACTTGTGCGATCTGCGCCCCAGGATCCCAAATGCTTCTGGCTGACTAACTTCTTGGAGACGTTGCTGGTGCAGGCCGTTCTGCCCTTGTTCATGTTTTGGTTCGTGGCGGATATGGCGGCTGCTGCTGCGAGGTTTGGTACCCAATGACCGTCTGCACACAAAGCCGATTTCAGAAGTGCCTTGGACAAGCACAGGTTGCACTGGTGTCGAAACACAGTGTTGTTTTGACGTATGTGCTGAACTTGCCCAGGATCTCAATTGCCAAATACTTGGAGGCCGAACCTTTGGCAGACGCTTGGGGAACGGCAGCGTTTGCATCACTGGTCTGGCACTTCCGGTGGTTGCCAGGAGACGGGAAACACAGACTGGACGATCCCCGGTGGCGTCTGTGCCATGTCTGCCAGATGCCTCGTACATTTCTAAACTGGTATTCGCTCTAGGCGTTGTAGATAACCAGCGGAAGTCCTCTTTACAAGAGCCAGAGCACAAGAGTCGCCCTCCCAAATCAAAGAGCACGTGCACAGAGGCCTACGCGGAATGCTTCTGTCGCTGTGGCATGTAGCTTGCGTTTCGAGGCTTCAAACTGCATGACTTCGGCTTCCGCGGAGTTTCCTCGGTTGAGTCTGCGGCAATTGGAGGATGTGCGTGCCGCACTTACATGGGTCCGTGAAGAAGATTTACGTATTTATTCGAGAAGACAAAGTTTGGGAATGGCGGGCAGATAGCTTTTGACTCAATGTTCCTACGTGACGAACATCGGCCATGAAAGGAAAGGCGAACAAGGAAAGTCGCGGCGCGGTGGCCTGCAAGATGCAAACCAAAGGTGACATTGAAATTGGGATTACAACCGTGGGGCCGGGCTTCTGCTGCAAGAGCCAGAAGAGAATCGCCCTGAGGAGGGCATCCTCAGTATTCACTACACCAATTCCCGCCACACGTTGGCTCCGAATCAGTTGAGACATCAGTGTCTGACCTTCAGAAAATCTGCAGCTGCAGGAGACCCACTATCGTGCCTTTGTAGCTCCTTGTTGAAAGTACGTGCTCCTTTTCCTGTCTGCAGGCAAAATCTTAAGACATGCCTCAAGCAATATGAACAAACAATAGAAGGGCCGACTGAGAATGGTCAATACTGGACCAAGAGCAGAAGCCCCAACACGGAGGTGGTTCATTGGGTTGATTGGCCGCGCATGTAGTAGTGTAGCATCAGCCACACATTCTGACAAACTGCTCCTGACAAGCACCAGGCACCTGGTGAACTTCCTTGGCACTGACACCGTTGCTGCCATGATCTGTGCCAGGGACTACTATGGAGCGAAAAAGGCAGGAACAGGACCCCTCCTCATGCTTTGCGTGCCCGTTGCGGTTGGCAGGCAGCCGGTGGGTCCATTCCAGCTTCGGAGCACTCCACCATTACGTCCTGGGGCGTCGACGGTGAGGTCGATGCTATGAGGCTGCGAAGATAGGTTGAACGTGTGGAAAGCGCACTTGCTGGTTTCTCGCATGTCCATGCATGTCCATCTTGTTCTCAATCGGTTACATGGACCTCTGCAGACAGTCTACAGGAACATGCTGGAACAATATCCGGAAGGGCTGGTGGCTTGCGTGCCTTGGCATTTGACACTGATGGCCTGGCCCGGACTCCGGGCCTATAGACAATTCGAAGGTCATCGAGCAAAGTGCAAACATTGGTGATTGGAAACAGGGGTGCGGCAGACATCACCCTAACACAGCAGTGGAAATTCACCTTCGGGGTGACTTTCTGGCCGAAGGTCTCGGACTCCTTCGACATCTGGCGTGCATGCAAAGACTACTGGGGTGACAAGCTCAAGGATCTCATCAAGGGCCGTGGCTTGGCTTGGCCTGGCAAACAGACGCGTTTGTTACAACTTTGCTGCGACTGCGATATGTCTTGGCCTTGGTTGTGAGGCATCACCGACACCAAGTTTGGTCGTCTGGTCGTGCGTCCTGACAGTGGTGATCCGGCAGAGACTTGCACAGCCATCCTGAAGTCCCTCGGCTCGCTCTCGTGTTAACCGTCGACAGTTAACCTCGGTAGCAACGTGCTTGCTCAGGATTCTTCTCGAGCAGTTCAAGGCAAAACGACTGTCATCAAGCAATCATGCTGTTCACATTCCAAGCGACCAGGAAGATGTGACGCTGACTCCGACAGGACGCAGAGTCTTCATGCATGTGTAGGCAGAGTAATCATCGGCAAGGACATAAGCTGCTGCCTGCGTACATCCGTGTCATCCAGGCGGTTCTTTCAGAGATTTGATGTTCTGGCACTTTGGGGGAACGAAATGGATTGCCTAGCAATCGCCGTCTCCGAGACTGTTGGCGAAGAAGACAGCTGCCTACGCATCAGAGCCAGGGTACAGCAGCCTCCCTTGGTTCGTCACCTTGCACAGGGCGACGGCGTCGACTGGCAGTCCATTCCCAAGATCCTTGAGAAGCTCAAGAAAGAAGGGATTGCTGCTGAAACATGGCAGCAAGCAGCTGCGGTAATGGCAAGTAGACCTTTGCGCAGCTTCCTTCCAAGGACAATATTGGCTTTGGAAGTGGTGGAGCTTTGCTGCAGAAGTTGAACCGAGACACCTTCAAGTGCGCTTTCAAGTGCCACGGCTACAGGGATGGCGGACATGTGACTTGTGACTTCCCGTTCCCTCGTCGACTAATCTCTCAACATCCTAAAGCCATGGGACTGGGGTCGCAGAGAGAGGTGGAATAGGGAGAGGGGGTGAGGGAAGAGGAGATTTCAGTGGTTTCAGGGTTTCGAGTTCGTAGCCCCGTGGGTCCACGGTGTTGAGAGTCGTTCTGCTCGACCTCCACAAGAATTTGAAGCACAGTCCCACACTTCTGCGGCGAACATGTGCTACTTAGCAAAACGTATGTACAGAGCGAGCAAAGCCAGCGATCCGAAGGTCGATTCGGAGTGACTGCGAAACCCTAACCCTGCAAAGGCAAATGGCTTGCACAAGCCCGCTTGCCTTGCAAACATCGCAACCTGCAGACCTACTAAAGATCTGCTACTAGTACCAGCGCCGAGCTAAGTCTCGGCTGTAGTTGCATACCCCGACCGCTGCAGAGAGCGGGATGGTCTAAAGGCAAAGAGTGCAGAGCGAAGCCAAGCCAATGACATTGAAGAGGGGACAGGAATCGTTAGCTCGAGAATCTCATGTTGCTTGCATCGTGTACCACGATGCAGCAACCAGCCTCACTTTTGTGGAATGCACGAGGTGCGCAGAGATCACAATCAATGGTGAAAGCCGTGATGTGTGCTGATCTCAATTGGCGGCACATAACTTCGGTACAGATGTTTCACGAGCAGTCGCCCAGTTCCGTTGACCTGACTCTGGACAAGGTTTAAGGACCCGATCACCGACAAGGGTAAGGCAGCCTCCACCAAGAGCTGTCAAGGATTTGCCGAGATGCTAGCAGTAGCTGACGAGGCCTCGAAGAAGGGTCGTTTGACCTTGCAGCTGGCTTCTGACCCTTGGCGAGACGAGACCGACGAGAGCGATAGGTCCATGGGTGCCGGATGAGCTTGTGCAAACTTGAGGAGACGACCGGCTTCTCCGACGCTGACAAGTGCCCGGGGTTTTCAACACCAGGGGGGGATGCTACAAAGCTTCACACAAGACTTTCACGCCTCTATCGATGCACGGGTTTTCACTGCTTGCCACGAGAACCGGAGGATCAAGAAAAGTTTGGTTGGAAGCGCCAGGTACCAGCCTCGCTCAGACAAGAACCCAGTCCCTGGAGGAACTGGCTTCTTGTGCTTAGGCTGCTCATGGCTGCTCCAACAGTCCTTATGCCCTGTTGAATCTTCCGCCTTGCGCGGCCGGGGTCTTGGTCGCTTTGCTGACCTAAGGCATTACAGTTCGGACAACAAGTACGTCACCGTCGCTAGCGGCAAGGGCGATGCGTCGAAGGACATCATGGTTGACGTCTTCAAGGACTGGCTATTGAATTCACACCGTCGATCCCCCATGCTGGGTGCCCCATACTGGGTGGCCTTCTTGTGGCCCTTGCATGCGGGAGGATGGCCAGCTGCTTGTGGACTACACCTTAGAGGAGATTCGCGCCAAGGCTGACATCAAGCCCCTCGATTCAAGCTAATGCACAGACTGTAGCTTTACCCCACCATTTTCCGATCGCCTGGCATGCAGAAAATGCTGAGGAATGGCCCTTTCGGAGGAGGTCCAGCATAAACTCTTCTAGCTGTAGGGCCGAGGGTGGGATGCCACGAAGCTGGGTATGACCAGGCGCATAGGCATATGCAATCCTTCTCTTGGCCCCAAAGTCTCCGTTGGATGACTTGATTTTCCAATCCTTTTGCACTTCAGACCCCCAAGGCAAAGCTCTTGTTGCACTCGTGCAAGACGGGCGAATCCATACCAAGTGCTCACACAGTCATCAGCGTAGAAGTATGAAAGTTTTCTTAGCTGTACATCTGACGTGCTGAATGTGCTTCAAGGTTCAGACTTTAGAGAGCTATAATTGCTTGATAGGCCCAGAGTACAAGTTAACCAGGCTCGACGAGCAAGTCTACCTTGAAAGAGGAAGGCAGCTCATGACTCCGAGGATGCTGAACATGTGGCTCGGGAGCGATTGATGCGCCGTGCGTTGTAAACTTTGACTGGGCCATGTGAACGGGAGCTGCGAAGCCACACGAAGCCAAAAGTCGCACAGTAATCAGTCCAGACAGACTAAAGCTCTTCGTGGTTTGGCAGCTCTTCAACCTTGCCACTTCCTGAGCGTGAGGCGGAGGGAAAGATCTGCTTTTGTGTGTGTGTGTGGGTGGGTGGAACACCTGTTTGCCAAGCTCTGAATTGCTTTTAACATTGCAGGGGACCACCGGCGCCCCGGGGGGCGGTGGTCAACGAAGACCCCCCCGGTAAGCCCGTGCAAACGTACCTGCCCTTTTTCAGTCTTTTTTCCATTGCATGGCCAGGGGCTAAGCCAAGAACC